CCCTTCTCTCTCCCCCTTCTCTCTCCCCCTTCTCTCTCCCCCTTCTCTCTCCCCCTCTCTCTCCCCCTTCTCTCTCCCCCTTCTCTCTCCCCCTTCTCTCTCCCCCTTCTCTCTCCCCCTTCTCTCTCCCCCTTCTCTCTCCCCCTTCTCTCTCCCCCTTCTCTCTCCCCCTTTCTCTCTCTCCCCCTTCTCTCTCCCCCTTCTCTCTCCCCCTTCTCTCTCCCCCTTCTCTCTCCCCCTTCTCTCTCCCCCTTCTCTCTCCCCCTTCTCTCTCCCCCTTCTCTCTCCCCCTTCTCTCTCCCCCTTCTCTCTCCCCCTTCTCTCTCCCCCTTCTCTCTCCCCCTTCTCTCTCCCCCTTCTCTCTCCCCCTTCTCTCTCCCCCTTCTCTCTCCCCCTTCTCTCTCCCCCTTCTCTCTCCCCCTTCTCTCTCCCCCTTCTCTCTCCCCCTTCTCTCTCTCCCTTCTCTCTCTCCCTTCTCTCTCTCCCTTCTCTCTCTCCCTTCTCTCTCTCCCTTCTCTCTCTCCCTTCTCTCTCTCTCTCTCCCTTCTCTCTCTCCCTTCTCTCTCTCCCTCTCTCTCTCTCCCTTCTCTCTCTCCCTTCTCTCTCTCCCTTCTTTCTCTCCCTTCTTTCTCTCCCTTCTTTCTCTCCCTTCTTTCTCTCCCTTCTTTTCTCTCTCTCTCTTTTCTCTCCTCTTTCCCTCTCTTCTTCACTCTCTTCTTCTCTCTCTTCATCTCACTTTTTCTGCTTCTTTCTCTAATCTTCTCTCTCTCTCATTCTTACCTCTTCTTCTTCTTTCTCTCTCTCTCTCTCTCTCTCTCTCTCTCTCTCTCCCCTCTGTCTTCCTCTCTCCTCACTCCTTTCTCTCTTTCTCCTCTCTTTCTCTCCTCTCTCCACTCTCTCTCTCTCCTCCCTCCTCTCTCTGTCTCTTTCTAAATGCAATAAAGATAATTATTCCTAATAAATCCAATAATTAATAATTAGAATTAACATTTTAAAAACCCTTGCTCTAAAATGTTATATCATGACATTTAAAACACGTTCTAGTTAAAACATTTTGACCTCACGTTTTATACTCGTCTTTACAAATTCTCAAAATACATATTTTAAACGTAATTCAAAACGTGCCCAAAACAATGAAATGTCATTTTTAGCACGTTTAGAAAACGCAAAAATGTTTGGTGGGTCCCCTACCTTTGTGCGTGCCTAACCCTGGTTGATGGCAGATAAGGAAAAACCCCAACCACAGGGAGGTTTTTCCAGGGCCATTGCTCCCTGAAACCCCTCTGAAGGGGGCCAGGTTCTGGCTTATGGACCTTGATATGTCTGAACTCCATAGCGAATGTTCCAGTCTAATATAGCATACATTAGCCCAATAAGCTCCAGGGAGCCATAGGGGCACCCCTCAGAAGAGCAGAAAAAATGAAATTCTTCACAAAGAATTCAGGTGCGGTCATCACTAGGCGGGATACATTGGTAAACTGAGCATGCCTCGCCCCGCACCCAGCAGAACAAACTCGCTCGATGACCCATACATGCAACAACAAACACTCATACTCCGAGGTAAACTTCATACACAGTCAAATTTTACGAGGAAATTGACTTCAAAATAAAAAAAAATTGTAATCTGGGGCATTCATAAACCGAGGTTCCACTGTATACCTACAGTGGAACACACAAACAGTCTACCTACCTACAATCAATCTCTTCTCTCTGTACATATGTTTGTACTGTTCAATTTATATACTTTACAGTATACCACATAGGGGAAGAAGGGTACACGCACATTTAATAATATTGTATTTCATAACATTGATGTTATTTTGAGATATGCCCTTCATAGAGGACCAGGGATGCCATCCACTCTGTCGCAATATCAAAATAATGAATAATACTGAACGTGTAAATTAGAAAATGAATTACAACTGCTCTCACTTTGCACAGTATAAAATAATGTACCTGCATATCATGAAGCACAATCAGCACATAGTACATTTTAATTTTCCTTCCATTTATTATATATTTTATGAAGATTCCACCTAAAATAATAGTATGTAACATTGTGAAGAGACAAGAGACAAAACAATAAATTACATACCAAAAATAGGTTTTGATTATTCTTTATAGCAATGGACCATTGACCAGGGTTCATAACTAGAGGGAGAGGAAAGTCCCCAGGCACAGCCTTCACTGTCAGCAGTTGTGGCCCATTGGTAGGTATAAAATGCACATCAAATTCCTGAAATAATACATTCTCAGAATAATACTATTTTTATTACATTTCATTAAAATATAATTTTCATACAATTATGTTTGTCACAGTAAATTTTTACAGCCTTCTATTCCTTGGAATAGGTTAATTTATAAGTATCTGTGAATAAACTTAAAAATATATTGAAATACAAGTACAATTTATATAAAATACTTTCACATGGACATACAGTATAAGCATATGGTTTGTGGAAGGAATGAAAGAATGAGGCAACATGTGAGATACCTACCTGAGTAGTCAGTAAGTTGATAATGTACCTGGTTATATTATCTGGCTCACTCTCACATCCCACACAAACATCCAACCTTCATATTATTTACTTCACTTGTGCACACTATGTATACTTTCCTCATATACACCACTTGTGTGTATGCTTCACTCATATATACCACTTGTGTGTATACTTCACTCATATATACCACTTGTGTGTATACTTCACTTATATACACCACTTAAACAAGGTGTGTGTATACGTCAGTCATGTACACTACTTGTACAGTCATAAAAACCACTTGTACAAGGTGTTAATATATTTAATAGGCAGACACAGTACACCACTTGCACAAGCTTTGTACCCAACTAGTTGTACTCACCTAGTTGTGCTTGCAGGGGTTGAGCTCTGGCTCTTTGGTCCCGCCTCTCAACAGTCAATCAACTGGTGTACAAATTTTCGAGTCTACTGGGCTCCATCATATCTAGATTTGAAACTGTGTATGGAGTCTGCCTCCACCACATCACTACTTAATGCATTCTATCTGTTAACTACTCTGAAACTGAAAAAATTCTTTCTAATGTCTCTGTGGCTCATTTGAGTACTTAGTTTCCACCTGTGTCCCCTTGTTCATGTTCCACCCGTGCCAAAGAGTTTGTCTTTGTCCACCCTGTCAATTCCCCTGAAAATTTTGTAGGTGGTTATCATGTCTCCCCTTACTCTTCTGTTTTCCAGGGATATGAGGTTCAGTTCCCTTAGCCTTTCCTCGTAGCTCATACCTCTCAGTTCCAGGTCTAGTCTGGTGGCATATCTCTGAATCTTCTCTAATTTTGTCTTGTGTTTAACTATGCATGGACGCCAGGCTGGAGCTGCATATTCCAGGATAAGTCTTACATCAGTGGTATACAAGGTCCTGAATGATTCCTTACACAAGGTCCTAAAAGCAGCTCTTATGTTGGCCAGTCTAGCATATGCCGCTGATGATATCTTTTTGATATGGGCCTCTGGGGGACAGGTTCGGTGTGATATCAACCCCCATATTTTTCTTTCTATTTGACTCTTGCAGAATATCACATCCCAGATGGTACAGTGTGTTCAGCCTTGTGCTCCCTTCACCTTCTCCCTTCTCCCTTGTTTATACTTCAGTCTTTGTATACTTCAGCTGTGTGTATCCTTACCTTGAGGTTACCTTGAGGTGCTTCTGGGGCTTAGCGTCCCCATGGCCCAGTCGTCGACTAGGTCTCCTGGTTGCTTGACTGATCAACCAGGCTGTTGGACGCGGCTGCTCGCAGCCTGACGTACAAATCACAGCCTGGTTGATAGGTATCCTTTGGAGGTGTTTATCCAGTTCTTTCTTGAACACTGTGAGGGGTCGGCCAGTTATGCTCCTTGTGTGTAGTGGAAGCATGTTGAACAGTCTTGGGCCTCTGATGTTGATAGAGTTCTCTCTCAGAGTACCCATTTCACCTCTGCATTTTAACGGGGGTATTCTACACATCCTGCCATGCCTCCTGGTCTCATGTGATGTTATTTCTGTGTGCAGGTTTGGGACCAGCCCTTCAATTATTTTCCACGTGTAAATTATTATGTATCTCTCTTGCCTGTGCTCAAGAGAATGCAAATTTAGGCTCTTTAGTCGGTCCCAGTAGTTTAGACGTTTTACTGAGTGCATTCTAGCAGTAAAGGATCTCTGCCTGCTCTCCAGGTCAGCAATTTCTCCAGCTTTGAAAGAGGCTGTCATTGTGCAGCAGTACTCCACTCTAGAGAGCACTAGCGTTTTGAAAAGTATCATCATCGGTACAGCTTCTCTAGTGTGAAAAGTTCTTGTTATGCAACCTGTCATTTTTCGTGCAGTTGTGACGGCTACTTTATTGTGTTCTTTAAAGGTAAGGTCTTCTGACATGAGTACACCTAGATCCTTTACATTGCCTTTTCGTTCTATGTTATGATTTGCCTGAGTTTTGTACGTGGTTTCCGTTTTTATATTTTCATTTTTTCCGTAGTGCATGAGCTGAAACTTATCTTCATTAAACACCATATTATTTTCTGTAGCCAATAGAAAGACCTGATCTACATCTGATTGGAGGTTTTCCATGTCCTCTATGTTGCCTACTTTCATGAAAATCCTAAGGTCATCTGCAAAGGATGATACAGTGCTATAGATTGTGTTCTTGCCTATGTCCGATATGAGAATGAAAAAAGTACTGGAGCAAGCACAGTACCCTGGGGGACTGAGCTCTTCACAGTTGATGGGCTGGATATAATTTTGTTGACTATTACACATTGGGTTCTGTTAGTTAGGAAATTGTAGATCCATCTCCCTATTTTTCCGGTAATTCCTTTTGAACGCATTTTATGTGCAATAACACCATGGTCACATTTGTCAAAGGCTTTTGCGAAATCTGTGTAAATTACATCAGCATTTTGTTTTTTTCCATGGTATCTAATGCCATGTCATAGTGGTCCAGCAACTGTGACAGGCAAGAGTGCCCTGTTCTGAAACCATGTTGTCCAGGGTTATGGAGATACTGTGATTCCATGTATTTTGTTATCTTACTTCTTAGCACTCTCTCAAAGATTTTTATGATGTGCGATGTTAGTGCTATCGGTCAGAAATTTTTTCCTTCTGCCTTATTTCCTCCTTTATGGAGGGGTTCTATCTCTGCTGTTTTTAGTATTTCAGGGATAATGCCAGTATCTAGGCTTTGTCTCCAAAGAATGTGAAGGGCTTGTGATAGTGTTTTTTTACAGTTCTTTATGAATATGGAGTTCCAAGAATCCAGGCCTGGTGCAGAGTGCATAGGCATACTGTTTATGGCATCTTCAAAATCCAGTGGGGATAGGGTAACGTCTGATATATGATTAGATGTTGGTATCATATCCATGAAAAATTCATTTGGGTTATCAATCTTTAGTGTGTTTAGTGGCTCACTGAAAACAGAGTCGTACTGGTTCCTCAGCAACTCGCTCATTTCTTTGTTGTCATCGGTGAAAGTTCTATCTCCCTTTCACAGGGGCTCAATACTAGATGTGGTTTTTGATCTTAAATTTGCATAGGAGAAAAAATATTTCAGATTTCTCTCTATTTCACTGGTGGATTTTTGCTCTCTTTGCCTCTCCTGGGTTTTGTATGATTCTTGTAGCCTGAGTTCAATTGTTTCTATTTCTCTACCTAACCTTCTTTCCCGTTCTTGAGATAGGGTGCGATTCTCAAGTTGTTCCATGATTTGTTTTCTTCGCCTATAGAGGGAACGACGTTCCCATTCCACTCTGCATCTCTTCTTCTTTTTTCTTAGGGGTATGTGGTTTGAACATATTTCTACTGCTACTGAGCTTATTTTTTCCAGGCACTGGTTTAGGTTTGCATTTTCTAGCTGTTCTTCCCAGTTTATTTCTATGAAGTCCTGGTTTGTTTGGTCCCAGTTTATCTATTTATTATTGAAGTTGAATTTGCTGAAATCTCCTCCACCGGGAATCGGGACTGGTTTTGAAGGTCTATTCACCATGCTTGTCAGAACTTCAATTACTTTCTGTTCAGTGGTGGTGGTGCTGACAAGGTGATATACTATACTTGCCCGAAATGCTGTGCGTATTAGTGTCTTTAGGCATAGTATTTTACCTGAATTTACCTGAGGGCCAATAATACTAATGGCCTTGAAGAGGACAGGATGCCGGTGTCTTTGACTTTTCAGACTTTGAGGAACCCATGGTGTTCAGTTCCTCATTGGTGATTGCATTCAGGTCCTCCTTCGCATAAAGCAGTACACCATCTGCTCTTTTTCTGTTCTTCATGAATGATGGATGATACCCTGGGAGGAGGAATTCCCCTTCAATAATGTCCTCTCATCCCCCATGTTTCACTTATGTTAATGATGTTTGGAGTCTCTGCCTCAGCATTTGCACACAGTGCTTCAAATTTATTTACCAGGCTTCTGGCATTAGTGTAGAAGTACTTTAAATTTCTTTCATTATTCCTATTGGTCTAAGTGATAGTTCCTAGAATCTGAACATACTGAACATTCTGAAGTTGTTCGTTGTCACTCCAGTTTTGTGCCTGTTCATCTTAATAATAATAATAATAATAATAATAATAATAATAATAATAATAATTTATTTAGGAAAAGTACATATATAGTTGCAGAGTTACAGTACAAACATTCTGTAAGATTTAAAGATAGAGGTAGTACATACAATACCTAAAGCCACTAGTACGCATAGTGTTTCGGGCAAGGTGAGGTGGAAAAAAAAACACTTAGACTAAAACTTAATAGTAACTGAGCTTAAAGTATAAATTGTGTTGAAAGAAAAAAAATAATAAAAGATAAAAAAGGGGGGAACATGGTAGAAAATAGCCACTATACAAGTTGGTCAACAAACAGCATTTCTTGCCTATATATCTTCTGAGATATATAGGGTTAGTTCTGCCTGGTTGGGTGAAGGATTATTTACAACTTTTACAAATTGTATATATGTCTTTTCAGTTTCCATCTTTGTACTTTTGTAGCTCTTAATAATCTCCTCTATGTGAGTTGTCCATGAAGTTTCTCTTTGCATATCTTTGCCTAACTCTATGTTGGCCTTTAGGGTTTCTTGGAGTTGTTCACTATATGAGTCTATTTTCTTATTAATTTTGTCAAATTCACCACTCTTCACTTTCCATACCTCATTTTCTTTCACTAGTTAATTGATTTGTTCCTCCTGAATCTTTACTATGTCCTTTAAGGCAGTAATTTTCTTACCTTGCTGAAGAATACTT